CCAATCAATTATAATGATATCGATTTATATACTTAAAACGATATAATAGAAGATAGTGTCGTTATTTGAAATCCTTAAAAGTTAAATCGGGAATTTGAAAATAGATTTAATAAGGAATATAATTATAGAAGATGATTTAAATAAGAAAAAAACAAGAATTTATTTAAAAAGTGTTGGTGAGATCAAACTTGAAAGTACAAGATGTTGTTAGTTGTAACTCGGAAGAGGATGGATGGATGGATGTTCCCCACGCCTCTTTCTCTCTCCACTCATCACTAATCACCACCACTAACCGACGGAGATCTATACAATGTATTATGTGTTTTTTTAATAAATTATTTACTTTTTAACATCTTTTTATCTTAAAATTTTGTATCTTTTTTAGCTAGCGTTTGATATGGAGACATATTGGATAGAACTGGACAAGACTAGACATGATAAGAGGGTAACAGAACAAAAGTATGTTTGGTGTTTGGTACGACTATGACTGGACATGACAGAACTAGACAATCTACCCCAAAAGTTATTGATGATTTTAAATATTATATAATAGTTGTAGGCTTGTAGCTAATGTAGTGAAGATAGTGGTGGTGGAGGTGGGGTAGCAATGAATGGTGGTTGTGGAGGAGGTTGTTGTAGTAGAGGAGGAGTTGGATGTGGCTAAGGTGTTAGTGGTAGTGGCAATGGACGGTGATGGTCGGTAGCCAATGGTGGTTATAGAGGTGTCAATGGACAGTGATGGTTGGTGGTCGACGATGGTTATGGAGGTCATGGAGGAAGTTGTTGAGGTATAAGAGGATTTGGAGGTGGCCAACGGTGGTAATGGTGGTGGTAATGTGTGGTGGTGGTCGATGGTGGTTGTAAAGGTGCCAATGGACGGTGTTGAAGGATGTTGTTGTAGTAGACAAGGAGTTGAAGGTAACAAACGGCAATAGTGGTGGTAGCAATGGACAGTGGTGGTCGATGGTCGACTATGGTAGAGGTGGCAATGGACTTGGTGGACGGTGGTTGCGGAGGCGGTGAAGGATGTTGTTGTAGTGGAAGAGGGGTGGAGGTGGCCGCCGGTGGTGGCGGCTGCCATCGGATGCCGATGTTATGACTATTAAAACAAATATCATATTAATGTTATATATTAAACTATGGTAGATTAGTAATATTTTAGTTTATGTGTCATTCTTGTCACATATTGTTCCACCTACTTTGGTGGAATAAGAAAAAGAATTCTTTTGTCCCATGTCGTCTCACCTTGTCCCAGTTCTTGTCCCTGTCCCCATGTCGTACCAAACGTGGGACAATGAGTTCTTGTTATGTCCCATACTACACCAAACATGGGACACTGAGTTTTTGTCCCGTCCCATGTATCAAATGCATTAACTTATTAAATGGCTGAGTCATGGGGTTGTGATTATGTCAAACATCAATCCTTACATGTTATGATGAGGACGTTACGGTTTTGAAGATATGATATACGGTGTGACGTTTTAAATTTTGTAGTGTGATGTTCACAATATGTTTATGGATAGTAGGGTTTGATTTAGTTTTGTTGTTTTATTTGTTGATGTTTACAAACTATACTAGATTCTATGAATTTAAAGTTAATTATCATTTCACAATATCTTTATAAATTATAATAATATTTATAAATGAAATGTTCGCAATGTGTTATTTTGCATATTTAATTGTGTGTATATGTTAGGAAAAGAGAAATGAAAGGAAGATTTTTAAATTTATATTATATTTTTAAATTAATTATTTGTGGTCTAATTTATGGGTTTCATGAAGTATAAAGTTTTTAAAAGAAGGCTATCACGTGTGTCTCTCTATATATATAGAGAGAGAGATAAGATTTACTTTGCAAACCACGTTATTTGTACAAATCGTACAAACCTCATTCAACTAATCATAATTTTTCATTTTGTTTATTTTTTTTGTAATTATGAGAAGTTGATTAATCATTTTTATTGTGGAGAGTGTTAATCATGAATATTATCATCTTCATTATTTTAATTTTAGAGAAATAAATGAAACAGTTTCATTCAAGTATTATATGAAACAATTTCATAATAAAAAACAAATTATATGAAACAATTTCAAAAGAGTATACAATTTCATGAAAAAATTTCATAAGATTAAACAATGAAATCGACAGATGAGAATGATTTTCACAATTTATACAAATTGTATGGTTTGCATATGATCGATTATCTATCTATCTATATATATATATATATATATATATATATATGAATGAATTGTTGGTTGTACAATTTCAATACCAAAAAAACGAAGGTACAATTGTACCCATACTTATCATTCCATTTGTTGAATGTACCGATTTATATCTACCAATGTACTATCCCATCACATTTAAATGAAAACAAAACACTACTTTACTTTTTTCCTTTTTAATCTTAAATAGGCTTTACGTAAATACGTAAGACATTTACATAAACTATGATAAAAATAAAAATTCGATCCCAAAAGTGACTAGAAACGAAATGGTTGAAAAGATCGACTCTTTTGGTTAATTTTCTCCATCAAAGCTTTATGTATCAAAATCAATGTTTCTTTTAATAAATACAGATTGAAACTTTTACAATTTGATCTGATTTGTCTGTTTATTTTTTATTAACTTGTGTTAAACCACATACTAATAAGTAATAGCATATATCGTTTTCGAATTACTTCTTGATTTGAGGCTGTAACGGTTGTTCCTTTCTTTCACTTGTCTTTTTATTTTGGATTTTGTTCAGACTGTTATTTTTCTCATTCTTATAGACTTGTTTGTTCCTGTTTCTTGTAGAAAGTTCTGCCCTTAAACCCTTTTATTTGTTTTGATCAATTTAGGGGTTGTTTATTTGCGGCTTAATTAGGCTTATTGGTCTATCTGACTTATTCGCACAACTCATTTGAATTGTTCACTTACGGCTTATTCGCACAGAAAATGACTTAATCGCACAGATAGAAATGGTGTATTGTCCCCATTCTGCGACATTTATGACACCTCTACCCCTTATTTAAAACATCGTCTCTTTCCCAAATGAGCCACCTCATCGTCAACCTCTTTGTGATTTTCTTGTTTTGATGTTCAAATAATTAATATTGGGCAGTAAATCGGTCATTTATGTCATTCAAACTGTTGGTTCAGATAAAAAAGTAAACAACAACATCCATTTATCCAGATAAACAAATTTATCCATATATGACTTGATAAAAAATTTGGTATCCTCCAAAAAAAAATGTTATTTAATAATTTGGTTGTTAAAAATGCTCTTCATGTGAGAAGCATGTGACATCACTTAATATCTTTGTTTATTACAAAATAACTCTTCACTTTTATAAATGTTTTACATTTTCAATTATAATCTTAATTATTAGATAAAAAAGTCATCACTCTTTTAATGAAACTGTTATTTAGGGGTTGTTTACAAGACTTTTGCCAGACAAGTGTTTTTTCGGATGTCGCTTACTTTACTGGTGAACATCACAAGAACTGAGAATATTACCTAATAAAAGACATAATAAGGACCGATAATCTTATCCGATAACTTAACCCGGTAGGTGAGGGAAGAGAATCTTACCATTAAACACTTACAGAGTAAAAGACGCTTACCACAATCCGTTTTAGTAACCGATAACGTAAATAATATATTTTTAAAAAAATTATAATTTTTTTCATTATGAATAATTATTTTATACCGAAAGAAGTCAAAATGAACTATTTTATATAAATTGGGGAAATTTTTGTAAGAGAAATTGATCAAAATAAACAAATCTTTTCAACCAAATTTATATTTGAACTATTGTTTTAATCAAATTCTTATTTTAATCAGAGTTTACGTAAATGCTTAAAATAAGAATCCGATACAAAAAATGATCAAAATGTGAATTCGATTAAAAAGAGCGACTATCATACAATGTTCAAAATCGTAGACGTGACCTGATGACGAGGTCAAGCCTCAAGCCTTACATGCCACGGCGAGGACGCGACGTTTTCCAAATTGTGACATAAGACGACAGATTTGTATGTCATATATATATATATATACACACACACACATATATAATGGGACTCATTCAAGGGAGAACTAATTAATTTGTGGTAACTGTGAGATCCAATCTCAACCACAAATCAACGGATAAATTAGGAAATTAATGATTATGGTAGTTTGAGTTAAAATTATAATTAGAGGGCATTTTTGGTATTTTTAAAAAACTCCTCTTTCCTCTCTTATCTCTCATCTCTCATCTCTCCGACCTCCGGTGAACAAAAATCCGGCAGGTACCAGGTAATCACAAAGATACACAATGTGATACCCATTGTGATATACTGTGATACCCATTGTGATATACTGTGATACCATTTGAGTACCACTGTATATCACAATGGGTATCACATTGTGTATCTTTGTGATTACTTGGTACCTGCCAGATTTTTTTCACCGGAAGCCGGAGATTGGAGGTCGGAGAGATGAGAGAGGAGAGAGGAATTTTTTAAAAATACCTAAAATGCCCTCTAATTATAATGTTAACTCAAACTACCATAATTATTAATTTCCTAATTTATTCGTTGATTTGTGATTGATATTGGATATCACAATTAACACAAACTAATCAGTTCTCATTTGATTAAACCCCTATATATAATTATGTACATACATATATGTTTTCTAAGATTGCGTTGCGCCATGACGTGTCTTAAGATGCCATGTTCTGAGTTGTGCCTTACAAAAACGCTATGGACCATTACATAACGAGAAAAACTCGTGTAGTTTATGTCATGACACACATTTTTGAACACTGCTATTATAGTTCGGGAATGGGCAAATCTGTAATTTAGAGAAAAGATTATAGAAAACAAATATTTCTATGTTCTGGAGTATGGTGTGTGATGGGATTACTGTGACACTCTCACACCAAGGCGCGTGAGCAATCAAATATTCATCAAGCATTTAAAACACTCGTACAGATCTTTCGCCATTTTCTGCTGCCTTTTCTGCAAATGGGTCTTTCAAAATTTTGCTGTTCTTGCTCTCTTTCTGTTTGATTTCTTAATGCATTTCTGAGCTCTGCAACAATGGCGAACTTATATGATGCATCTGCTATTTGTTCTTCATACTCTCCGCCGCCTGAACCTTCCGATGATATCTCCCTTCTTCTCCGTCAAATCCTCTTTAAGTCATCATCTTCTTCGTCTTCTCCTTCTCCTTCTCTCATTCCCAAACAAGTGCAATGTGAAATACAACGACAACCGCCGCCGCCTCATTCCTCCATCCCTACATATTCTTCCGCCGCAGCTGCTAACGTTCCGGCGAACGGCGTCGCCCATGTCTCTTCTTCTTCAGCTGGTACGATTGATTATGACCCAGATGAATATGATTGCGAAAGCGAGGTATTCCACCAATTTTTTTTTTGTTTTTATCCCACTTTGCTGTTTGATTATATAATCATACAACCTGTTTGAAGCAAAAACTCGTAAAAAATCAACTTTAATCTTAGAATCAATATCGATAATCTGTAACATGTATGTTCTTACTACTTTCTAATGAATTGGGTGTCGGTGGTGGTGGTGGAGTTGGGTGGTTGCGGCAGGCATTTTTGTTGCCGGTAGGAGGTGGTGGCGGTGGATGTTATAAGTGAAGACGGTGGCAGAGTGGTGGTTCTAATCATTTAAGTTTATCGATCAAAGTTTTCCAGCGTTTTTACTTTCTGGTTTGCAGGAGGGTTTTGAAAATTTGATGGAAGAAATGGCTGCAAAACGAAACCCTCCTCGGAATCCATCGAAACGGACTCGAGCTGCAGAGGTTCATAATTTGTCTGAAAAGGTAACAACCCAAGTATTCACCCCATTTGATTCTTTGTTTTCCCACAACGATTATTGATAAAAATGATGGTATTTTAATGGCGAATCATGAATGTTTGGAACAGAGGAGGAGAAGCAGGATAAACGAGAAGATGAAGGCTTTGCAGAAACTCATCCCTAATTCCAACAAGGTTCGGAATTCTGTCATAACTTTGAAACGATTTTTAGTTATATGGGTAAGCGCTTATCAAGTCACGTTAACTCACTGGATGAATACGGTAAGGACTAAGAATCTTACCCGGTAAGTGAAGACGACGACTCTTACCACGATAAGCACTTACCGGGTGAATTGTTGCATACAATGTCGTTTTGATGGACTAAAATCTTGCCCTGTAAGTAACTAATAGGGTTAAATTTTACCGGTAAGCACTTACTTGGTAGGTGTTTGATACCAATTTCATTTATATGATCGTAAATTTTGATTTTTTCCAGACGGATAAAGCTTCTATGTTGGATGAAGCCATTGAATATCTGAAGCAGCTCCAGCTCCAGGTTCAGGTAAACAGTAAAATTTTTGGGGTCTTATCAAAGCTCGTAAAGTCGTCCAATATGTCTTTAGCTGAATTCCTCGGGTTTTTAAGTCTTTTTGGTTGATTTTGAGTGATTTTTTTAGTTTTTTGGTTGATTACGAGAAACTTTTTCGGTTTTTTTCCTGATGTTTGTAAGCATGACAACGGGGCAGGACCCGGCTCCGGTTTACCATCAAATTCTGGGAGCACCCGTCAAAGTTTAGTAGGTGTGATTTTGTTCGGGAAAAAAAATTTACTTGCGAAAATTGGTTTTGCGGGTGCACCGGACTGCAGATGGACCTATTAGGTCTGCCCCTGGTTGCAAATGGTCGTGATTGCATCTAATGGCTTATTTTTTGAGCTTATTGAAAAAGTCCTGTTTGGTTTATGAGTTTGGTTCATAGCGTTTATGAAACCTTTCTACTTAGTTTTTCAATATATTCTTTTAGGTCATTTTATTTTAAATTGTGATCGAGTATCAAATAGTTTTTAGGAAACATCACTATTTTTCGACTATCTTATTAACCGACAATTAGCTTATCGGCAAACAACTAGTTTTTCAGCTAACAGTTGTTCTTCATTTGATATAAATTTCAGATGTTAACGATGAGAAATGGGATAAATTTGTACTCCATGTCTGCACCGTCCGGCGTTCATGAGCAGGACCAGAGAACGGGCGGCTTGAATCAAGGAAACCCGCCCGCTAACATGACCGTAAACCAAGAAAGGCTCATGAACCCAATGCTTAGCCTCCCTGTTCCATGCACCGGTCAAAACCAGCCACTCGTACTTGATTTTTCGCATTCAGTCAATCACGAACCCACGTTCGGAACTCAACGTGGATCGTCTTGATTTCCGGATTCTTCAAATGCATTGTGATCGTAATGCAAAAGACGTTTCGATCACTGTAATTTAACTTTTAGTTGTTTAGTTTTAGTTTCTTTAACGAGGATACTATTATTGCTGTTATAATATTTTGTATCGTATGCATCCAAAAATCCGTTGATGTTCTGTTATGTTCGACTTCTTGGATGAGGAATTGACAATTTTTTTTATCTATCCATATATCACTTATTTAACTGCTTTTTTAACGGATAGGATTTGATAAACGATATTTTACCTGTTATTTTTCATAACATGGTTAATCATTTGATATGTTACCCGTTAATATTATACGAAATAACTCTTACCCTGCCCATGCCTTATCTGTGATTTCCAAAAAAAGGATGAGTATTTTTTTGGCATCGTTTGGAATGGAAACGGGACAGGCATTGGGCGCATAATGTATCCCCCGTCCGACCTCGACCACCGTCTAAGCCCCGCCCCAACTAATCCCTGACGGTTTCGGGAAACTCGTTGGATACCCGTTTACTACAAGTCAATATATTTTAAAATTAAAATTATAATGAAGTGTCTCTCCATTTATTATCAATATTGAAAATCAAATATATTTGTCATTCAATATATACATATATTAAATAAAACTAGAAGCGTACTCGCGCAATACAGCGAGATACATCGTGATTTTAATATTTCATTTTATTCTTTATTTCAGTCGATATTTAATGACTTTATGTGATTTTGAGAAAGCGATGTTTTTATTTTTGAATAAAATATATGTTTTGAAGATATCATAAAAATTTGACAAAAATATATYGATATTAGTATCAAATTAACTATTCGAAATTCCTCATTTTTTGTGTAATTTTATAATTCAATTTTTTATAATTTAATTTATGTACAATAACGAAGTAATTTATATTTGGTTTAATAATATAATTTTTTAATAAAGATAATAATTATTTATTTTGTTGGAACTCGATAATTTTTCTAATTATATTTTAGATTTTTTATATTTTAAAATAAGATGTTCATTATCTATTTAATTATGTTTATCCGCAGTTATTTATACAAACATCGAGCTTTAATAAGTTGTACTTATGCATAATTACTTATAATCTTGAATTTTAAGTAATATGCATCAATATACAATACTTTATGTATAACAAAAATATATCGATATTTGTATCAAATTAACTATTTAAAATTCCTTATTTTTGTGTAAATTTTTAATTCAATTTTTATTATAATTTAATTTAG